TACAGTAGGGAAGTGTGGGTGTGACAGCATTATGTGTAATCCCACATGGCAAACTCGGGAAAAGTAGGGAAGTGGAGTGGAAAGCGAGCTGGCAGGCGCCTGTGATGCTGGAGCTGATATGAGAAGCGTTCGAGTAGGATCACTCCGGTTCTGGGACTGACACCGCAGGCGAGTGCCCGAACACAGCTGCCTCCTGGCCGGCCATAGGCAATGCGTGTGCCATTAACGGACGGCTGTGGGCTCACTGGGGTGTACCTCCAGCATCCCTGGCTCCTGGGTGGGATCGCAGGCCCCCAGCTGGGGTGCTGTCCGTCACTGCCTGGAGGAGCTAATGTCTCCCCTGAGTCTGCTGGGGGGAAAGGCCTCGGCACCCAGCTGAAAGGGTGGGTGGGATTCGTCCAAACACTGCATCAGTTTGGCTCAGTCTGTTCTCTTCTGAACATGCAAAGGAGCGAATTTAGTGAACTTCTGAAAACTCCGTCTTTTTCTTTTACCTTTTAGGCTTGCAGCGCTAAAGACGAGTTCATTGGAAAGGCACTTGTACCTTGTGGTAACATAAACCAGAACCAGCCCTGAACCTCCTCCTTTACTTTTCCAGGTGTTACCCTTAGGCGCTTCTTGATGTCTGCCCACCGACTTTGCTCCCACAGAGATCAAACTTGCCACCTCTGGTTGTAGCGAATAACGGCGTATTCTGGAGTGGCTCGGTGGCCATCCATGCCTTTACTCACAGAGCACGGTACTACTCACGAGGAACCGGCAGGCTCTGGCTCTGAATTAATAACAAATGTCAGGTGTTTGTGTTTCCTTTCCTGGATCACAGTACTTGTGCGAGGACAGCAGTGTTTGGGTTGGAGAGGAGACATCTCTAGAAAAGACGACTCTGAGAGATTAGGCTGGTTCAGGAGGACCCCAGAGGTGGCAGAAGAGAGGATATGAGGTTTCCAGGACTATGCTTGGATTTAAATGAGACCCTATGGTGATTTGCATTAAAAAGGATTTTGTTAATTGGACAAGTGAATCAAATACAAGCAGACCGTCCCTCTGCTATCAGCACATGATCCTAAGGTTCAGTGGGCGACACGTATTAGCCTTTTTCTGTGATGAAATATCACAGAAATGTCTCCTTAAGATGCATTTCAGTGCATTTGGATATCTTGTGTGTCTTTAGAATATTTTGCAATATTGTAATAACTCTGTCTCCCAAGGATATGCAACAGGCTGTATCTTATTTGTGCCTCGGTATCTGCAGGCCTCAACTGAGTTTAGGACTGCTCGCCAAGTACCATGAAAACAAATCCTGGCCTTAAGACCATTGCCAAAGACAAGCAATAGAAAGGAAAACAACCCCAAAAGTGGTGACTTGCTGACGTTCCTCGGTCAATCAGTGCCACCGTCAAGAGTACAAACCAGCTATTCTTGAGCCCAAGCCACTAGAGCACTCTGCCTGCCGGGGTTTGGTGTTTCTGCAGAAACGGTCGGAGCTTCTGGCCACGCGTCAGAGGCTTCGTGTTCCAGGAGAGTAATGGGAGCGGGAGCGCAGCTCCCAGATGAGTGCTTTTCCTAAAGACAGTCACTCAAGGGCTCAAATTGTTTTGGTTTTTTTTTTTTTTGCCTTTTGTGTAAATATATTATGTAAAATATATACTTTGAAACAATAGCTGCAAACGCCCCATGTTGCCTGGAGCTGGTTTTCTGTTGTCTTGAGTGACCTCTCGTCTGAAGCGCGGAGTAAAGCCAGGCGAAGGCTGAAGCGTGTGTGGCAGATAGAGATGGGAATGAGGGCTGGCAAGTGCCGTTGTTCCCCTCTT